CTAGAACAATACCACCTAAAATCGTCGTCATGAGCGGGCGCGACGTCGCACGCGACGAGCACTGGTGCGGCGAATTACGAATCTCTTGCCACATACCCGAGCGGATCGTCATCCCTACTGGTGAATTTTCATTGCTTTGACACTGAGAAACGCTGATTTTTTTTTCACTGAATCTGAGGGTTATAATGAGAATAAGCAACTTCCATTCTTACTTCCGCAACATCTCGTATAAGGCACAGGGTGAAGAATGCATCATTAGAGATTGAGAACTTGGAGAATATGGCCTGGAATTTATACAAACACTCCAGCTTAACAAAACGAGAAAGTGCTGAGGATCGTAGGTCTTACCTGTAAACTGCCTCGCCCACATATTTTCCAAACAACTATGTAGTCGATCCCATCGTAGGAGAAACCCAAGAATTTGTTCACGTTTTCGTGATCGAGCTTACGCATCTGCAATTGTAAGTAGCTCATTTTACCTTGTAGGTCATGTATGTGACTAAAATACCTTCAAGCAGTCGTGCTGTGTGGCGTTCGACAGGAGTGATAGGGGGTGCCTTGTGATGAGAGCCGGTTCATTGTCCAACATGGCCACAATGAATATACTGCCTGCTCTATCGTATTTACTGTTAGAAGACGTGACCGTGGAGGGTCCTGATTGAAGTGAACGGATGCTTTTCTTCTCTCTGTCCTAGAAGTCAGTTTCATTATTTCTGCTCATCTACCCTCTCTTCAGTTTGAAGGCAGAGCCCACGATCACTTATAATTTCTAAGCCCTCAGTAGGGAGAGGTAGTGTGGACTGCAGCGAACAATCCTGCATGGGCTTCACGTCAGAAAATGATGAGGTAGCTGCGGTAAGGCACAAGGTCACTCAAGTGACTCCACCCACGTTGATAGATGTCTTATCTGTCTTGCTCCTTTGCACGCTCTCTCGCTGCTTTCTTTGGCCTCTCGCTCGATATCCACGTCCGGAGGAGGGAAAAACTCACCCATGCGCGTATGCGGCGCGGTTTCTTCACGGCAGGGCGGAGCGAAAGGCGATGGCCCGCGTCTCCGGCGCTGTGCTCCAATCCAGCAGCCTCTTTTATGTGGAAGGAAGAGAGGGAAAGTAGTAGAGAGAGAGGAGGGAATGGAATTGAAACAGATGAGTGGTGGCATATGTGATAGTGTAGTGGTAGGGATATCACAAAAAAGGTCTGACTATCACGAATTACGCTCAATGAAGGCCGGGACTCGGGCATAGTTCCCTTCGGGACTTGCTTGGAAAACGACGCAAGCAGCTTTTACTTGAAAGTTCAAGCTGAGGTTTGGCAAATTGCCAACAGTGGGTTGTGACCTTATAACGCTATAATGTCACGTCCCATTCGAAAGAATCATTCTGCCATTTCCGCTGTTGCACTGAAAAACCGCTCTGATTCTCGACTTTTCTGTATTCTCTGCTCACCATTACCACTAACCCTATATGACCGTTCACTATTTGTTCAATCCTCTTTTCTCTCTCCTCCTCCACACTATATGGCGCTAAAAGGGCTTCTGATGTTAAGCCAGTGGCCGGCGCAAGCGATCATCCTTCGCCGCCCGTCGCGCGCGTGCGTGAAGAACCGCGCCGCATACGCGCATGGGTCAGTTCGTACACGGAGCCATCCACGTCGAATTTATCTCTTTCTTGGCACCGGTAGAATCATATTTTGAGCGTTTTGACGGTTTCCTCTCTTTTTTTTCTTCACCGACAAGTCAGCCAGCATATGCATTTTCTGTTTCTAACCATAAATGTTAGGGCATTTATACGCCAAAAAATTGAAGAATGGCCAAATTCATTGCAGAAGCTCAGTAAAGGCTTCGCTATTCTTGTTTATTCTCAAGATAAACCCTGTAATTTCATGGAATACTCCCGCCTCACCCGCCTCATTGACAAGGAGCGTGGGAACTTCTTCTTCTTCTTCAGCGTTTGTCCCGCTTGATGGCGGGGTCCGCTCTTTTGATATAACTACGCCATTTTTCCCGATTGAATGCCTGATCGGGGTGAATGCCGGCTAATTTTAAGTCGGTTATGCAGTGTGTCGAGCCAGCGCTGTTTGGGACGCCCCTTTGGCCGCTTTCCTGGTACCTCGAGTTCGAGAGCTGTTTTACGGACGGTGTCAGCCTTCGCGCGAAGTACGTGCCCGTACCATCGAAGGCGCGTTTCGCGCAATTTCTCTGCTATGGGGGCTACACCATACTTCTTGCGCACGGACATCTTTACAAATGCGGTCCGCTCGCGTGACACCCAGCCGTCCAGCGCAGCATCTTCATTTCCATCACACCAAGGCGGCCTCAATTCTTGGTCGCGGGCTCGCACTTGCCGTGCCCATATAACGCGACAGGTCGGACGACAGTACGATAGATTTTAGACTTGAGGCGCTCTGGCATTCTCTTGTCGCAAAGGATTCCAGACATGGATCGCCACTTAGACCATGCCGCACTCACTCGTGCGCTCACTTCCGAGTTCAGATGCATCGGACGCAAGTGCTGATCCGAGATACTTGAATGTTTCCGTGCGCTTGAGCACCGTGTCATCGATTTTAATGGAGCCCTGCTCATTTGGGTCGGTGGTCAGGTACTCGGTCTTGTTGACGTTCAACCTGAGTCCAAACCTCGCCAGACGCTCGGCCCAAGCTTGCACCTGCTGTTCCGTGCGCTACTTATCTTCACAAAGCATCACATCATCAGCGTAAAGCAGGGTCCAAGGCACTTCCTTCTGAAGATCTTGTGATATGGCATCCATGACGGCAACGAAAAGAAGTGGGGAGAGCGCAGAGCCTTGATGTACCCCGACGGTGATGGGGAACTCCATTGAAACACCCGCTGCCCCCCCTCCCCGCGTTCCGCTAGTGAGACGAAACTAAGGTGTGTGCGTGCGAGCTGGGAACAAGGTCGCAATAAAGTAATATTTTTCCGCGCAGAGGAAAGGTAAATTGGACTTCGTATTCCAGATCTGCTAGTGTTGAAAGTTACCTTATCACATTAGCTATCTGCATGTGGAGCTTCAGTTCTATATATCCAAGAATTATCTTTTTTTCCTAGGAAATCACTTTCGTTTGTCTCCTCGGTAAAATACTCTCAATGACACAACTGCACGGTTTACAGCTACTGTATATCTCTATAATGCCTTCATGGAAATATGCCGCGTTGGATAATTTCGAAACGTCTGTAGCCTCTCGGGGTGTCTTAGTAATGGTGAATCTGTAATGGTAAGTTGAGCAGTGACTTTTGCTTTAAGCTTGTCGGCATTGCAGGATTCGCCACGTGCGCGCCGGGTTAAAGATGCCGTTGTGACTCATTATCGGGTGTCTTCGCCTCGTCCAGCGCCAGCCGCCACGACGCGGATAGCGGCCCCCGTCTGTGTGCGGCGCCGCCCAGTACGCCGGTCACCTTATTCAGCGTCTCCCATATTGGGGGTGTATAATTATATGATTGAGTGGTTATTTCGTTCGTTCTTGCAGTGGATTGGGGAGGTCTTGAGGCGATTGGAAACCTCAGATTCTACTGCAGCTACTGTCTTCAAAGGGTTCTTCTAACCATGCCGCATCCAAGCAGTGGGACGCCAATGTCCCAACGTTAATGAGAAGGCAGCGAATTTTAAAGCGAGGTACTTCGAACTTATCGCCATTGCAGTTGTATCTCCCGAGTTTGAGGGATTAATATAATGTAAGTGGGTAGTGAGAAGTCGGCAAGGCGTACAGGGTCGAAACATCTAGCACGATGGATACTGCGCCCCTTAACAGGCGCTACGTGGGGCCTTTTCCAACCAAGGGCATCATTGTTTGCCGCCAAAACCGAGCGGTGCAACATGCGACGTGAAAGCGCTCACTGCAACTGTTCGCCCACGAATGGCCGAAAAGTCTCATCGACGCTGGTACTCCTATCACCTCTCATGAAATACAACTGATATGAAACGTTGTCACTCAGATAAAATGAATACATATGCACAGCCTGATTTATCAAGGCGGCTACTGGTACAAGACCAACGGGTAACTCGTCCAAAATGATCGTGCGGGGCCGTGCAGAACAAAGACCTTTCACAGGTTCTTGGCGGCTTCGCTTTGTCGTCATTTTCCCCACTATATAGCACCCCTGCTACTAATTTCGAGCGAGTACCGAACTATCGTGCCTTATGCCTTTAGGGTACATTACATCTGAATAAGCCTTCATTCTTGAGAAAGCGCTAGAAATGAGAATAAACTGAATAAAGGCATATGGCATGATAATTTGGTACTCGGTCCAAAATGCTAGAAGGGTACTATACAGTGGAAAAATGAGGAAAAAACGAAGTGAAACGGTCAAAGGCCTGCAGGAAAAGCTTTTGTTCTACTCGACCCAGAAAGCAATTTCAGTTGAGCTTCCCGATAGCATCATGCCATTGACCGCTACGGTAGGCACGGCTGCAGGTATGCACTCATATATCCACCGCAGCCGCTTCATATCAATCCCTTCGCTTCATATTTTACTTCGCAAATGAAGCAATACGAGCATCAGGTACGGTCGTCCATTTGTGGGCGGGCGGGCGTGGTGGGCGTCCGGGTCGGTACGTTGCAGCCTGATAGGACTTTCTAAGGGTACCTTCCTTAGAAAGCCCTATCAGGCTGCAACGTAACGACCCGGCTGTGTAGAAAAGGCGCTACGCAGCTCTTGCTCTGAGGCGCGGAATTCCCTCCTGCCGGGCGTGTTGACCCTACTCGCCTCAGAGGTTTGTCATGCCAACTGCGTGTGTCCACGAGGCTACCAGGTACACCTTGGTTGACTAGATTTCTGTCGGTTCTGCAAAAGATTTTAAAACTACCTCTGATATCACAGTAATCCGATGGTGAGCGATCTTCCACTCGTTCATCAATCGCTCTTTTGCAAGGCGCCTTTCCCTGAAAAACTTTTGTCGCCATTCTGTTGTAGAAGGTAACTATGGGGTCAGTGTCTACAAGCTGAGGGAAAGACAAAAATGATATCCATTCGCACCTGCATATGTAGCACGCAAAAATTATAAGAGACACAACGAGCAGAAAAGCTATCGCGGCTCCAACTCCAATGTAAACAGCGTTGATCTCCCAGAAGTCATGAGGACAGTTCTGTAGAGAAAAACCGCATCGTGGGATTGTGAGAGGTCTAAAAATGAAACTTTCTTTGCATTGCTATTATTCATCAAGCCCATAAATTCATACTTCTGTCCATTTCTGTTCGCCCATATCGTAGTGCTCGGATCTGATGACATCATAGTGACATTCTGTAATTTGGTAACGCATTCAGTCGCAGAGGAATGTATTAGGCTGCCTTCATACTTTGCAGCAGCGACCAGCAGCGTCTAGGAGTGGAGAGTATGGGGCGATAGCAGGGCACTAGCTCCTCCTCTGCCTCCTATCCTGTCGCCCCATGCTGTCCACTCTGGATGCTGCTGGCCGCTAGATCGATACCTTACTTCTCTTAGCCCTCTA